GCCTCCGCGTTTCTCCCCAGTTCCTCCCAGTTCTCCCCAATTCTCCCCCCGGCCCCACGGCTCCTTCCGAGCCCCTCTGCCCCTCCAAACCTCCCCTGCCCTCCCTTTCCCCCCCAAATCCCGCTGCCCCCCCCGCTGTCCCCCGTTTTCCGCCGTTTTCTCCCCTCCCCGCCCCCCCACCGCTCTTTATCATAAATATATAAATTATGCTAATTACGCCATTGCATATTCACCGCGCCGGGCCCGCCGCCCCCCGCCCGCCCCGGCCCCGCACTCACCGAGCCGGGGGTCGGGGGTCCGGGGGGACCCCGGGGGGGGCGGGGGGGCCCGGGGGGGCCCCGCCGCTCGCGCCGCTCCCGCGATCGCTGCGGGCGCGACGGCGGCGGCGGCACAAAGGGGCGGGGGGGGGCGGGGGGGCGGCGGCGGAGCGGCCCCGGGACCCCGGCCCGGGCCCGGGCCCCCGGCGGGAGCGGTGGGGGCGGGTTATGAGGGGCTCGGTGCCGCGGGGGTCCCGGGAGGGGATTTTTGCCTCTTCCCGGGGTTTTGGGGCTGCTGCGTCATGAACATAATTTATGCGCAGGCCGCTGCCGCAGGGGCGCTCCCGGCCGCGGCCGCTGGGGGCGCTGCGAGCGCCGCCGCAGAGAGCCCGGGACCCCCGGGACCCCCGGGACAGAGAGCCCGGGACCCCCGGGACCCCCGGGACAGAGACCTCGGGATCCCCTGAACCCCCGGGATAGAGAGCCCGGGACCCCCGGGACCCCCGGGACAGAGACCTCGGGATCCCCTGAACCCCCGGGATAGAGAGCCCGGGACCCCAGGGGCAGAGACCTCGGGACCCCCGGGACAGAGAGCCTGGGGCCCCCGGGACCCCCGGGAACCCAGAGACCCCCCGGGACCCCATTGGGACAGAGACCCCCGAACACCCCGTGCGGCCAGAGAGACCCCAGAGCCCCTCCGGAAACCCCCCACGAGTCAGAGGCTCCCGAGATGCCCCAAGGCCAAAAGCCCCCCCTGAACCAGGGACCCCCCACCACAACAGAGGGACACCCCAGAGCCCCCCAGAGCCTGAGACACCAGGGACACCCCCAGAACCAGAAACCAGGGACCCCCGAGCTGCAGAAGCCTCTTCAGCCCCGGGACCCCCAAATCAGAGGTTCCCAGCCCAGACCCCTCAGAACCCTAGACCGGGAAGTGCCAGGACCCCCCAAACCCTGGATCCCAAATCCTGGACTCCCAAAATCCCAGACCCCAAAGTGCCAGGACCCCCCCAAACCCCAGATCCCAAATCCAAGACCCCCCTAAAATCCCAGACCGCCAATTCCAGACCCCCCAAAACTGTGACCCCCCGATCCCAGAGCCCCCCAAGCCCCCGAAGTGTCCGGATCCCCCCAAACGAGACACGACAAAGGGATGGGGGGGAACAGGGCCAAATATTAATGACCCCACAGCCAGACCGACCCCTCCTCATTAATAATCATTAATATTCATTAATATTCTAATTAGCCCAGGTGCACCTGTTATTGGCGGCCGCGGCCCAGTTCTGCCGGGTTCATTTGCATATGCGCTGCCGTGATTATGAATATTTAATACGAATCGTTAAATAACTACAGCTAGTTAAATCCTAGGCTCGTTTGCATACATTTGCATACATTTGCATAGAGCTAAATAGATTGCATACGGGGAAAAAAACAGCTCTGTTGGGGGGCGGATTTTAATTAACAAAGACTCAGCTGAGGGGGGCCTTGGGGGCGGGGAGGGACGGGGGGCACTGAGGGGGGGCTGGACG